CCTCAAAAGGAAGAGGACTTTAGTAGCCAGCTTACTGGATATGCCCTTGGGCGAGTCAGTGCCACCTGCTGCCTTGACAGAGCCTGAGATGGGCAGTAATGACACCTAGGGTTTACGAGGAGACGAGAGAGAACCGGGAGCTGCATCAACGCGGGCAGGGAACATGAGGCCTGCTCTCCTGCTTGGAAGCTGGCGGCACACCGCTTTAAAAGTGTACACTCTCGGTCAGTCCGCAAATCACTGCTCACCAGAATTTGTAGAAAAATGTCCCGCAGTATTCTTTGAAGGTGTGTGACCATATCCAACCAGCAGTGTTTGCAGGCCTGCTTTCACCTGCTGACCTGGTTTCCCAGGCCTCTCCTGCTCAGCACATAACCACTGTGATGATTCAAGACTGTGTGTCCACTTATGGGCTCTCATATCTGTCTTTACTAAACCTGCCTCCTGTGTTTGGCCTTCATGAGGGTCAAGAGTGCCATTTCTGAGTCCCCACTGAAATCCCTAGGATACTTACTGGCTAAGGTATCTGCATAAGGAAACAATAGAGGGGGGCAGGACATTGGGTCAGGCTCAGCGCTAGGACCCCGCACTGCAGTGGAAGAATTCCAGCCAGCAGAGGCAGCACTGCGGCCTGTAGACAGGTGTCCCATCACCATGAGGTCAGAGATGACTGAGGAAGGCTCACTACAGCTATGCCTCTCTAGTTGCCTATGAATCAAGATTTCAGGGGTAGTTGTGGCCAGAGGCAGGGCAGCAAGGAGCAGAGTAGGCCTCCCTGGACAAGACGTCAGGCCTCTGGCTGGCAAGACCAGACAGTTACGACTTTTAGATGATGTGGGTACCTTCAAGCCAGGCACATTTACCCTCAAACCCATCACCTCAAAGAACTTAAGACTTCCCCATTGCGTATTCTCACATTCACACTGGTCATAGAATGCCTGGTTGTCTGAGGCTGGGGATGCAGCTTGGTGGAAGAGCCCTTGCCTAGGATGCATGAGGTCATGGGTTCAATCCCTAGCACCACAGAGAAAAAAAGAAAGAAAAATCCCCACCTACAAGGGAAGGTGGAGTCCACCGTGACTTGTTAAATACCACTCCATTCAGGGTCTGCACGGCTAATACATGGGGTGGGAGCTGCTGGCCTGAGGCCTGCCCTGTGAAATGGGATCTGTCCATCTTTACTAGGGAGCAATGATAAACGAGCACAGACAGACACTGGTCAGGACAAGCCACTTTATTTAAGAGCTCTGACAGCCCAAAGTGGTTTAACATAGATGCATAGAAGATTTATCTAGATGATAAAACACCTGCACTCAAAAGGCACATAAATTATGATTTTGCAGGTTTTATTTTTCCTTTACAAGTAACATTATACAGACTGAGCAGGCTATATTTAGGAATATATATATATATATATATATATATGTATATACACACACACACACACACACACACACACATATATATGCATGTAACTGCAATTAATGAAAAAGAGAGGCCATGAATTTGAAAGAGCAAGGAGGGTTATATGGGAGGGCTTAGAGGGAGGGAAGGAAAGAGAAAGATGATGGAATTATATTAAAATCTTAAAAAGAAATGCCACAGTCAGGTGTTTTAAGTAATAAAAGAAATATGCATGAGGCTGACTGCACTTCGTACACATGGTCTGGTTGTCTAAAGCGCCTCTGCTACCATACAGGCCTGGTTCGGAACTGGGATCACCCATCTGTGACCTTTATTTTCCCTGTGGTAGTGGCGGTCTATGGGAGGATTAATAAACATCATACAATACCGATAGCTATCACTCACTGAGGATTTTTCCATACCCCATCTGTGTGCTGAGGTAAGCCCTTCAGGTACTTAACTTGCTTATTATGAGCTGGGTACAATTCCCAGATTAAAATATAGATGTTAAGACTTCAGTCATAGGCTGTGCTATTTGATTGGAAAGCCAAGGAGTTATCCACGAGGCTGCCTCCTACATGAAAGCGCTCAGTCCTCTGCAAATGCTTAAGCACATTATTTTTCTCTGCCTTCATACTCTTATTTAAAACACAAACACACAAACATACACACAAACACAGACACACTTCAAAAAGTTCTCGAGTTTATTTTCACTTGTTCATTCATTCATCTGTTTGTACACTTGGAGCATGACAGCCTAGTGCAGGGGCTATAATGTTCCACAGCGCCCAAGCCACTTGGTGAATGAGATCAGTCTCAGGCAATTATTATAGCCATACTACCTAAGTCACAAAGATTACAGAGGTCATTTAGAACAACAGTAGCCTACTGCAGGGGACTCATCCAGCCAGGAGTTAAAGACAAGCCCTAAAGGCAATTCTAGACCTTTTGACTAATTTCTCCACTTTTTTTCCTTCTACTTCTCTGGCCCAGGTTTTCTCAGACTCTTGGGTCTTTTGACAGTGCAGCTGGATAGAGGTTCACTATCAGGTAGAACACTCCTCTCATTTGGAGGCTGCTGCTTTCTGGGGGAAACCACTGCCACAGATAACTTACCTTCCACTAATCACCCTACCCAGCTCCTCACCCCCCAACCACACTTCCCTCCCCACCTCAACAGGGTCTGTCAAGATAAGGAGTGGGCAGTGCCAGTAGCGTAGTCACTTCCTATATGCTGGATACAATGCCAAGCATTCTGGGTACTCGCTATCCCAACGGCCTCTAGAGCAGCACCATCATTCTTCATTTAGTTTCTTTGGAGAAAAAAAAGGGGACGGTATGAGTACTTCTTCAGAGCAGAACTATCTGCCAAGAACCTGCATGCTCCTAATGACTCAGAGGACAAGCGACCTCTTCAGACCAGCATAGCTGGGAAGTCGCAGGTCTATGGCCACCACGATAAAGCCTCTCTTCTAGTCTTGGCCAGCATACTGCCATGGCTTGTGAGAGGAACGAAGGAGGGGGGGAGTGGGAGGGTGCACCATGGCTGCCCTTTCTCCTCTCCTTCCAACATCCTATTAATCATCCTCTATTGACCACAGCCCTCCAATGCTACCAGGTTCCTCCCTTAACTGTGTTCCCCATTCTGTTCTCTTAGAGAAAAATCCCAAGTCCATATCAATAGTGTGGACAAGATCACAGAAGACATCAGGATCATTCAAGGCATAGAATATACCAAGCCTCTTTCTTTATTAGTTGTTGTAACAGACATATATGTATGTATTATCCTATGTATTAATTTTTATTACATACATATATACATTATGTAACAGCAATTAATGAAGAGGGAGGCCATGAATTTGAAAGACAGCAAGGAGAGGTTATGGGAGGGTTTGGAGGGGAAAAAAGGAAGGGGAAATAATGTAATTATATTATAATCTTAAAAAAACAAAGGAAATAATATAAATGCACACATATGTAAATACTAAGTGGCTGGCGGGTATTTCTCAAAGTACTGAGCATTCTCTCAAATCTGTGCTGGTGTCAAGTTCCAAGGGGTCCTCAAGGAAGGGGACCAGAAAGGATGCTGCCGCTGGGGAGCAATTTTAGAGAGCGACACAAAGAGCTGAGAGTCACCTGGGAAAGTGTGGGAGCATGTATTCTGGGACTCTTAGGGCTAGCAGAACCAGGTGAAGCTTGCTGGGAAACCTGCCAGACAGAAGGCAGGCAGCTTTCCTCACAAGGCTCAGGGTCAGCATGGCCACATGGCCAACCCTGCATAGGCGCCAGGAGGGCTTCTTGGAAGCCTAAGAGCCAAGAAAAAGTCAAGTGTTTCAGAAAGGAATGACTGAACCAGTCCTAAACTTAGAGAACAGGCTGTGTGTCTTCTCACGTGTCAGAGGAGAAAGGATTAAGGAAGGGTAGGCATGTTTGCTCAGGGACAGACACTCAAGTTCAGTTCTGAGGCGCCTAGCCTCCTTGCAAGACATCACCCCACCCCCCACCCTCCCAACCCCCCTACCCCCCCACCCCCGGGCTGCACCTGCCTCAACAGCTCTGGGAGCTGCATTCCACAAACCATTTCCCGGTGGTACAAGCAATCCCATTCTAGAACAGAGGCGAGGTTAATGAACTGCTGTGACAAACGCCATGTCCAAAGCAACTCGGGAGGGAAGCCTTTATTTGGCTTATGCTTCCACATTACAGTTCATCAATGATGGAAGTCAGGGCAGGAGCTGAAGCAGAGGGCATGGAGGACCGCGGCTTCCTGGCTCTTTCTCCACGGCTTGTACAATATATACAATCCAGGACGGCTTTCCGGGTGCAGGAAGTTGGAAGGGGTGTGGACCGCCACTATGGGCTGGACTCTCTAATGTCAATCTTACACAAGAAAACGCCTTCTCACCCTGGTCACCAGGTTAGTCTGGTGGGGGCATTTTTTACCTCTTTCCAGATGAGTTTCGCTTGTGTTCAGTTGACCAAAACTGACCAGCACAGGAACCTGCAGACCCCAGCTCTCTGCAGGCCAGTCCTACTGACCCTCTTTCCTCAGCCCACAATTTTTTCACCTGAGAAAAATGCATCCCCGCATTTTCCACCCAGGAATTCAGAAATTCACCAGGTGTTTTCAAAAGGTTTTGCAGGTAGTGAACTTGATAAAACCTCTCCAGCACTCTGGGCTTTTCATCTCCACAGCCCCTACTAACTAGAACGTTCAAACTTTAACGTGTCTGGTTTATCTTTGCAGCGGATCTCCCCTACGCTCCGCGGGTGGCACGCTCCACTTTATCCCTGGGACCCCGGTACTTAGGCCAATGGAAGGAGAACACGGCATAACACACCGTAATTGTTACACGCTTATGTTTAACTGACTGTACACAGGATGCAGGAGGGATCCGAACCCGTGTCAGCTCGATCCTGTGAGTCGGAAATGTGACCGTGGGACTGGCACGGTTCTGCGCTCCGTTAGCTACCTGACGCCCTTGAGTGTGCGCGCGCGCCTGAAGCGGCGCCGGCGCCGCCGCCGCTACAGACGCTTCGAGTCACGTGGGCCCGCGGGACCCAAGCAGGCGGCCTAGGCCGCTGGCTGTGCTTACCTGCGCGGTCGCTGGGCTCCGCAGCGGCACCCGGAGAATCTCGGGGGTCAACAGATACAGTGGACCTAACGGTCAACCCGAGTTACTCGCTTTTGACCCAGGCTAGGTGCGGGGCCCAGAGTGAACTTGACCTTAAACTCCCCGCCTCCCTTTGTGGGCGGAGCCCGAGGAAGTAGGCTCCGAGCCTGGCCCCATCCCCGAGGGTGGGTCCAATGGAGCACCGCCCCTCACAGGACTAAGGCCACGCCCAATGCCCCGCCCCTGCTCCTCAGGTGCCCAGTAGGTTACAACCGTTGGCGTTTGCTTCGCATTTGTTTTTATTCTTCGGTTTTGTGTTCCGTTTATTTTAGATAACTTTGCTCTCCTTTTTAAAAGTCTGAATTAAAAATCTCTCAAGCAATGTATGTAAAATAACCACTTATAATAAAAGTGTAAAATGTTAAAATAACCACTTATAATGAAAGCAACAAGCCCCTCTTACTCTGCTCCACCCACAGCCCTTTTTCATCCGTCCCTTTTCTTTTGATGGTCACTTCTTGTCGCGAAAGAAAGAGAGAGAGAGAGAGAGAGAGAGAGAGAGAGAGAGCTTACATAGCGATTTCTTGATTTATCTATTGACTTTCTGCCATGTTACATGAGGATTTACTCTCCCTGCGTCCCTACTTCCTTTTCTGACACATTTACACGTCTTTTCTCCAGCTCTGCCCTGGTGAGGATGAAGGGTGGGGGGTGGGGTCCTCAAGATGACATGGTTTGGGGGATGGGGACATGAGAGAGAGCTGCTTTAGAAAGAAGATACAATTAGGGCTTTCTAGTGAGTATATTCATTCATAGCAAGAAATTACAACCAAATCCTTAGAGATCAGGTTTTATTCCCTGAGGTCTTTGTGTAATTTAGGACCTTAATTTGTCTTTGCTAATACCGTGTAGCTTTTCAGCCTCCCCATAATCCTTTATGACTGACCAACACTCACAGGGATCTTGCAGGGAGGAGTCTCTAAGATCAAGTTCACCAGTGTCTGTCAATTCTAATGGAATGAGTTGGAACTACAAAACATAAATATAATAATAATAATGACATCAAGAAAAATGTCAAGGCTTTGTGACTGCTGAATTCTTAATCTCCCCCACAGTGATAAATCAGCTCCTGGGTGTAGGGAGTGCTTTATGAAGCTGACTCTGGACCGTGTTTCTGCCCCTAACCCCTTACAGTCTTTCCCATACTCAGGAAAGGGTCGCATCTTTGTCTTTAATCAATTCATGGGCACACAGGTAACCTCCACTAAGTACCCAGGAAAAGGGTACCTCCCCGCTCAGGTAGTAGATTCCACATCCTTTGGGTGTCTTCTCAGGATGTAGGATGCAATGTGTCTCCATAAGGTGACCTTGAGCAAGCAGCTTTATCTACTCAGGTTTCTTCTTTCTTCCCTGTAATCAGTAGGCACATGCCGAGCATGCACACACACACACACACACACACACACACACACACACACACACCGCACTCTAAGTGCTAGAATCCAGTTCACAATCTTCGGGCAAGGGGCTGGAGGTTGAGGAAACACACACACAGAGACAAATAGACACACGGACCTCCAATCACTGGTACAAAGGCTCTTCTTTAATAGCACCATGGAGGCTTAAATACCCAGCAGTCAATGGCCAACAGGTGAAAATACCATCCTCTGATCCTCTAGGCAAGGCACAGCTTTTAGTAACTTCAATTAGAAGGTTCTAGCAGGGAAGAGCAGCTGAAGGCCAGGACTCAATTGGTCCCAACAGGCACAACCCCCTACCACACTGTGTTTAGGGGTTTAAGTGGCATAATAGCTGAGTGTACAGTGCCCTCTGGCTAGTCTCCTACTGATGCCAGTTTGTGTGCCCGCAGAGTAGGTGGCTTACCACAAGTTGGGGATTTTTGTAAATATAGGTAGCATATGCTACAGCAGGTTGGTTCACTTCCATAAATTAATCAAAGGCCAAGTCTTTCTGAGTCAGGACCTGGGGCTGGGAAGGCAGAGACTAGGTAGAGGCGAGCTTGAGCAATGACACCTGCAGAGCAAGTGTCTATCCTGCCCCAGTGAAGACTAGGACCTGGCTGAAGAGGACCCTGGCTTCCTGGGCAAGAAGTAGTGTGTGCTTTGGGAAGGCAGCAACAGCCATAACATAACATTCACAGAACAGCCAGGTTTAGCGAACATAAGGAGAGAGACAGGCCTGAGAAATCCCGTCTGGGCATTCTGAAGGGGAGTAACTGGATCCCTTGCCTGTGGGCACAGCTGACTAGTAGATTATAAGTATAATGGGGGCTTATGGGTAAACATAATGTCTCTACCGCTCTGCTCACTAAAGGAAGATGTCTAGGAAATGACCTCGCAGAAGGACAGGGATTTGCTGTAGAGGATGTGTCTGTCTGAGTCTCTCGTAAGCCGTCTACAGCACAAGGAAAGTGAAAAGCTGTTTATTCATGAGGTATGATGAGAACACAAGTAAGGAGGATGGCGTAGAGGACAGGGAACGTGTTCAGGAAGGGGGTCCTGTAAAGCCAGCCCTCCTGCCTAGCAGGTGACTAGAATCAGAGTGTGATCTTGAAGGAACATTCTAGAAAGCAGTATGTAGAACATGGCTTGGGGTTATCCCACCCAGGGGAATCTGCAGGAGGCAGGTCCCCAAGGAATAGAAACAAGCTCTCAAATTAGCTTGTATTTGTGAACAATTTGGAAATTATTTCCAGGCATCAAATTCCGATGTCAGCACGTGAGCAGCAGTTTTCTAATGCTGCCCTGCTCTTGCCCTCTGCCGCCATTAGGTTCTGAGGCTGTCTCCCTCTGTAGGAGCTCTTCGGGCGGCCAGCAAGGTAAGCTAGCTGAGAGTGACGGTCTTAGGCTGTGTTCTGAGGACCTTCTGAAGATCTGTGCATGGGACCATTGCCTGGTCAACCTCTGCCCTTGGATGAGCCCTTCTTAACTTGTCTTCTAAGCCCTCATTCCGAAAATCAAGCTTTGGTTGAATGAAAAAAAAAATAGGATGTGTGAAAGGAGATTGGTAGACTTTTAAAATGACCAAAGATGGCAGGCTTTTCAGCCACTGCTAGTGCTTCAGAAGGTGGGTGCTGACTTAGAACCAAAGGCCAGATAGATGATATTCATGTCAAGTCTTTCTTTTCTAGCTATTGAAGCAGGCCTCCACTAGAGAGCCTCTCTGTGAGCAAGACCGGTCCTTTCAAACCCCGAATCAGTTCACACCATGCAGAAGCCCTTACTGGCTTCTATCACAATTAGTCTAAAATCACAAGGCTCCTCACAGCCCACACGGCACACATAAATTATGTCATGCACACTGACCCTTCCTCATCTTCAGTCTCCTGGATGTTGCTGTTCTTCCTCGGACACTATGGGGGTTTTAATAGGAAATGGTCGCCCCCCCCCATGCACTTGTGTTTTGGGTACTTGATCCCTACTTTGTGCCTTTTTGGTATGCTGTGGAAATTTTAGAACATGGTGCTTAGCCGGCAGACATAGGCCACACCATGAAGGGCAGACAGTGACTACTATAGTAACCGGCTTCTGGACTGTCCTCTCTTTTCTTGATCTGACAAGCTATGAACAAAGCCCCACCACAAGCCCCACCATGATCTGCTTTAACCACCTCCCTACCACACGTACACACTGCTTTGACCCTCTGAACCATGAGCCAAGGTAGATCTTTTCTCCCTTAAGTTGTTCATATCAGGCGTGTAGTCACAGTCACGTCAAAAAGAGTCACTAAGACAGGCACTCTGGCTCTGTCCCCACCAGTACAGCACTTCTCACTCATGGGTGGGATAGGCTCCTCCCACTCTCAAGCCCTTCACCCACTCCTTAGCTTTGTCCATTCAACCAGGCTGCCCTCAAAACCAGGGATCATTCCCACACACCACCCTTTCATGGTATTTTCATTTACCCGCCTTTGGAGTACATTTCTACCTTTTAATCTGTCTCTCACACTGTAGTACAAGGTCAAGAGGTCAGGCTCCTCCTGATGTATTCCCGCATCTAGGACAACACCTGGGAACCAGCAAGTATTCAAAAAGTGTGTGTTGAGTGAAGGAAGGACTGGGTGGATTGAGTAAATGAAATTAAAAATAGCATAGATAAAAACAAACATAAAAGTCATGCTTAAAATCAGACTTTCAACTAACGTTAACAGGTTCTTCCCACACTAGATGAACCTGTGGGGGCACAAAGAGGTAGACGAAGAGACTGAACTGCATTCCCTAATCTGATTCAGAATTACAGCTTGAGTTTTCGAGAAATTTTGCTGTTTTATATTTGACCCAGTGTCTGTGCTAAATATTTAAGTAAAGGTTAGCTTGGAAGACTGCATACTTATTTAAAGGTAGTAGAGAGAAAAAAAAAGAAAAGAAAAGAAAGGTTCCCCTGGTCATTTGAATAATTCAGCATGGTGTTCTGTTGGCGTTTGAGAGCCCACGATGGTAACTGGTTACCTGGAAATAGAGGCCTTGATCAAATATTTATTATCTCACTTATTTTCATTTTTTTGCATATTTTGTATTTCGGCTTCTCACTTTGTTTTTACCCCTGCAATCGCACAGTTCACACCAAAGCTAATAGGATGTTTCATGGATTATTAAATGCAGCTAAGCAGTGAGCCTTTTCTAGAACATAAGGCCACACGGAGGCCGCTCTGCTGTTCTAACAAAATAATTTTCCTTGAAGGCTCAGACTCCGAGTTTACAGGGGAGGCGCTCTCCTTCCACGCTGAGCTTTTATAAGGCTTTTTAGCGGAAGTCAGCTGAGGAGGACGCCCTCCAGCGGACAGCGCATGCTCCCTGAGACCTGGCTCGTGGATGTAATTCAGCCGCTTACAATCGGACACCGCTGAAACAATTGTGTTGCAGTTAAGGAAGGAAAGCACCAACTAGTGCAGATTTGCTCCGGGAAACCTTGACTGTGGTAAGAGGGCCGTAGACTCTACCTAGGCTTGGTTGTCCTACAGAATTGTTCCGACCTCACTCAGCAATACCCCATTTGTGAATTAGCTTTCCTAATGAAGCCGCTGCTGAAATCCACATCCACGCTTTGACATTCATTCGGACCCCGTTGTTACGGATACCATCATCTGCGAGTGATCAAAACGGCAGTCATTATTGAGAAAAGACAGG